GACACCAAAGTGACCCACACATCTCACCCACGGGCAAGGGATTGGCAGGGATTCATCCGGATCAAAGGATACATTGGTACGGGTCAGGGGTGACCTGCTGGAGAGCAGCTCTGGGGAAAGGGACCCGGGAGTCCCGGTGGCCAACGGGCCGGCCACGAGGCAGCAAGGGGCCCTGGTGGCCGAGGCGGCCGAGGGCATCCCGGGGGGCATCAAGAAGAGCGTGGCCAGCAGGGGGAGGGAGGTCATCCTCCCCCTCTGCTCTGCTCTGCTCTGCTCTGCCCCGGGGAGGCCACATCTGGAGCGCCGTGGCCAGTTCGGGGCTCCCCGCGTCCAGAAGGAGCGGGAACTGCTGGAGAGGGTCCAGCAAAGGGCTGCGGAGACGATGAGGGCACCGGAGCGTCTTTCTCCGGAGGAGAGGCTGAGGGACTCGGGGCTGTTGAGGCTGGAGAAGAGCAGCCGGAGGGGGATCTTCTCAGTCCTGAAGGGAGGGTGCCGGGGGATGGGAAGGGTCTGTTTCCAGCGGTGCCCAGTGAGGGGACGAGAGGGAACGGGCACAACCCTGAGCGGAGGGAGTTCCACCTCACCCTGAGGAGGGCCTTCTCTGCTGTGAGGGCGGCAGAGCAGTGGCACGGGCTGCCCAGAGAGGTGGGGGAGTCTCCCCCTCTGGAGCCATCCCAAACCCGCCCGGACGCCGTCCTGTGCCACTGCGGGAGGTGCCCCTGCTCTGCCGGGGGGTGGGATGGGGGGAGCTCCAGAGGGACCTTCCCGCCCCCACCGCTCTGGGATTCTGCGAAAGAGACCACCACAAAGCTCCCGCGGGACGGATGGGACCCAGTGGTCCTGACTCAGGTGCTGCTGCTCCGGTCCGTGGAGACCCAGCAGGGATGGACCCAACTGCCACTTCTCCATCCATCCCCACTCTGGGTCTCACGAAGGTACTTCCTTGAGCAGATCGTGCGTAATTTCTATCGGATTTTCCAGAAAACGTAATTTCTGCAAAGCCTTTGTGAAAACTAACAGGTCGGGATCGAACCACTCGGCAACACGCTCAGCAATCTCCTCCCGCTCCTCTCCCTTCACACAAACACCACCAGAACCTCCTCCCAACTCCACCAGTTAATTTAAGCGCATCGAGACTTTGGTCTATTAACCAAAATACCGCTCACCGCTCCGCGGTGCACCCAGGAAGCTTTTCATCCCCCCCATTCCCCAAAAAAACACCACCTTGGGATTTCTTCTGGGGCAGAAATTCCAAGCGTGAGCGTCCTCCTGAGCACAAGGAGAACTGCTCATCTTTCCATGAGCCAAGCTACATCCACCCACACCAGCGCGTACCTCTCCAGAGGTGAGAGAGGTGCGTTTTTAATGGGACCCCGACGTGGCTCCAGTTCCCTCCCCAGGGCTGGAATTAGGGGAGGGGGATCTGCTGCGTCACCAGCCTGGGGACAGGAGCCCAGCGTCTCGCAGCCCCGCTTTAATAATGGTGCTTGACAGAGATGGATGCCATCTCCCGCGGCGCCGCGCGGTGATAGCCAGCCAGCACCGGCTGCCCTCTCTGCCGGCGTGCATCACGCGCTGGGGATTTGGCAGGCGGAAATGAAGTCTTGAGCCTGGTCTCGGGGTGGGAGAAGGGGCAGAAGAAGGGGGGAGGTTACAGCCTTCGGCCTCCGCGGTACCGCACAACGCCGGGCGGAGAGAGATGGAGAGAAGCATCTCCTTCTCCTGCGAACTGCCTCCTTCTCCCCTGGGATGCCACAGCCTCCTCCTCCGGAGGGGCCCTGGCGAGAAACCAGAAGAAATCCCTTAAATGCTTCTTCTGGAGAAGCGAAGGCTTCAAAGGCGCTACAGTCAGAAGCGGTTACCGTCAGCGTCACCGCGGCGGTGATGGAGTCCAAGGGTTGACACGCGTTCGGAGTACCGAGCCAGGGTCCCCCACAGGAACGGGGCTGGATGGAGCTGTGGTTGCCCCGTGACTCAGCCAGGGACGGAACCGGGAAGGGACCCGAATCCAGGCCACCACGGCACGCCAAATCAGGTTACTGTACCACAGATGCTCGCAGAGCGCAGCAACGAGCCCGTGTTCCCCGGGGAAAGGGCAGGAGACCAAAGCGCCTCGTGGTTTACGACCTCTGCAAAGAGATAAAACCAGGAGGCGGCAAGGGTGCGCTGGATTCCAAGTGGAGCTCAACCCGAATCCTGAGGCGAGCCACAGCGAAGCTGCGAGCGGAGCCGCGGGAGAAGCTCTCCCTCCCTCCTCCCCGCGCGGGCGCTCGCTCTGCCGAGGCTTTTGGCACCATCTCGCTGCTGGGAAACGGAAGGGCCAAGCCAAAAACAGCATCGCTGGAGGAAGCGCCAGCTAACGACATGCCGCTGCCCAGCACCGGAGAGCAGCTCTCCCCGGCGCAGCGCAGGGCTGGATACGGCTAATTCACAACAACGCTGAGACCTGAGGGTCACTAAACCCACTTCCCACCCGGTTTCCACCTTGAGTAACACCGGCAGGACACCCCGAGGGCATTTATTCCTCCCCGAGGTGGCTGCTTGGACCCCAACGTACAGCCCAGAGCGCCAGAAACATTGAGCTTTAGGGCACTTTCAGCGGTAATAAATACCCTAAACACCATCCCAAGTAACTTTTTAGAAGCCAGCGCCTCCACATGCAGCCCCCGCAGCTCAGCGCTGCGAGGTCTTCGCCCGTTGCAAACCTACGACAAGACGAGAACCCCCCTGGCAGCATCTTAACTCCCGTCCCCAAATTCTCCTCTTTTTCCCACGGCCACCTCATCAACCTTTTCCTCCTGCTCAGAGCCGATCCCACCTCCTGCCGAAGGTCTGAACCCGGTACTGGGATCACCGTACCGCAGCAGGAACCACACCTGGGAAGCAAACCCACCCCCAGCGGCCACAGAAAGACACTTCTCCACCGCCGCTTTTACCGTTTTACCCCATTTCCAGACAGAGATGACATCTCCACTTCCTTTTATTTACCTCCAGTCCTGCTTTCGTGACACTGCGGTTATTTGAGATAATTTTTCTTTTTGAGGTTCTCACCTGCTTGTCACCCTGAGCTGGATTATTTTTCATTTTTCTGTCTTTTTGTGGTTTGTTTTTTTTTTTAAATCAATGCGTAGCTATGGAAACCAACTTTTAACCCACGCGCAAGATCCCGCCGTCTCCCCAGCACGAGCAGCGAACAGCGGAACCGCAAACGATATTCAGATGTTTGGGTTCGGCGATCGCAGGAATCGGGAGAGAGCACAAAGGAGACGGTGCCTTTCCCCAGCTCTAAGATGGGATTTTTTTTTTTTTTTAGATAAAAACAACCACAAAACAACCCACGGAGGAGCCGCTCTCCGTCACGGCTGATTTCGCACCACAAATGGAACACCTAAATTTGCAGCACTGAGGAGAGTAGTTATGAAACGGCACTAAAAGTCCCTTTTTTACCTTCTCCGAAGTAAGACCTCGTGCCAGGATTTAAGCGGTTCTTAGGAAATAAGACCTCGACTCAACGCAAAGCGGGAGAACCCACCGCCAAAAGAGAATAAAGCGTATTAGCTCATAGCTTAAGACGAATTTGAAGAAGTTTTTCTTAATAGGGGGCGAGCCATATTTCCATTTTCGAGTTTAAGAAAAAAAGAAAAACAACCAACAAACCAGCAAGAGCCAACTCAGCACATACTGCAGAGGTTTGGGTTGTTTTTTTTGTTTGTTCTAAACGAAGCAACGAGATCTCTACAGGCAAAGGAGGAGAAATAATCAATATCGGAGCTCTCAAAATGTTTAATTGGAGAGGGCTTTATTTTCTGCTGAAGAGAACTGGAACTATACAGCTGGTTTGCACTGGACCAAAGCTGGGATTTATTTTTTATTTCCCCCCTCCCCCCATTTTTATTTTGCTAAACATAAGCAATGCAGTGTAACCAGAAAACGACGACTTACAGTGTTTGAACCACAAGTGGATCGAGAGGAGCTGGAGAAAAAAAAAAAAAAAGAAAAAAAAAACCCCAAAAACAGCCTTCTAGCTAAAACTGAAAATCCACAATACAGTTCGCCCTACAGAATGGCACTGTCGTGTCTAAGTAATGGAGTGATTTCAGGCTGGAATGGGAAGCACACGGCGTCCTACGTACCGCTACGCAGCTCAGGCTGGCTACTGATCTTCCTGCAGTGGGAACTACTGGCCGTTAGCCTCTCTCGTTTGCGTTCAGAACCCAAAAGGCATCTTCAAGTTTTTAAGAGTCGAAGCAATGGCAGGAGCAGAGAGAGCTCCCGGTGCCACCGCGTGACGGGACAAGAGGGACGATCCTCGCCGAGACGGCTGCGTTAAGGGAAGCTACGGACGGAGACGGAGGGATGGGCGCCCCATGCTAAGCTGGCTCAGCGTTTGATATCTCGCGGTCAATTTACGAATGGCTTTAGTAAATCAGCTCTACAAACCAACCGAGCGGGCTGCCGGAGCAAACACCCTTCGTTCGGGTTAAAAATGGCGTTTAAACGGGTCATGCAGAGGGTTGGGGAGTTCAATCCCGTCATAGCACCAGAGTTCACGCGTCAGCTTCGCCACCGTCAGCGCTGCGCTGCAATAAATACTCTGCGTCTAAGAGACGGGGGGGATGTGGGAAGCGCTGAAGTGTGACCTTTAGCATTGACAATTCCTCAGCCTAGGAGACACGTCAATATAACTCAAGCAGCCGTGGCATGCCAGAAATGTTGTTTTTAACATTCTCTCTGCTTACGAAAGATGCTACCGTCTTATTTCGCTCGCGTTCTCACCCTTGGCTAACCATGCATCTCTGCAGGTGAAAAACATTGTGTCAGGTGCCACAGAAGATATTGAGACATGAAATGAGCTTTTTTTTTTTTTTTTTTTTTTTTTAGACTGGATATGAAGTTCGTTTGGGAGAGTGCAGGGTTGGAGTAGGTTTCGTTGTTTGTTTTGTTTTGTTTTTTTCCTTTCTTCCCCTCGCCCTTTCCTTTCTACGTGTCACCAAGGCACTTCACTCTGTGCGTAGGATGATGTGGATCCCTGATTCTGTGAAAACTGGTCCGCTCATCTCGCCAGCCCTCAGCGCAAACGAGGCATCTTCAAAAGGTTTCTGCATCTGACCTGCGGAGAGCAGACACCAGAAAGTTCAATTAAGCTCGGCAACGAACGGCAGATCTTTCCAAGCAAGCAAGCCTCAAATGAAGACAGCTTCCAGGCAAACAACAAAGTCACCAATTAATAACTTGCAGGGGGTGTTTGTTTTCATCTTACTCCCAGAAGATGATTCAAAACAACTCATTCACACATGCACGTACACAGATTTTTTTCCTTCTTTTTTAAAGAAGGGGGTTTGTTCAGATCCTACAGACATCACTGCAGCAAGGAAAGACGCTCGGAGAGCTGCAGACCCAAAAGGCAGAGGAAATCTGTTCTGCAGACTCAGTGGCACAAGTGGACGTTCGTCTTCCAGTCTCGTGTGCCCTCCAGGTACACAGGGGGAAGGGATGCGGTGTGCATTACAAGCTGCGCTAAATAATTTACGAGGCACACGTGGATAATGTCATGACCTAGATAAGAATTGCTCTTGAGGCTCCGGTCTCCAAGTCACCAAATTTCAGGAGGTTTAGTAAGCCAGGCTCGGGAAAGCCATGGAAGGATTCACGAGCAGAACTACTGCAGCTCTGCAGGGGGTGGGGGGAGAAGGAATAAGCTCAGCCAGAATAATTCAAGGCAAGAGGAGAGACCCCAGCCTGCTGCAGGGGGGTCCAAGGGGGATGGCATTTTTGCCCAGTTTCCCCATGATAAAAGTTAGAGCGGAGAAACTGCCCGCCCCAGCCGAAAAAAGGAGGTTTTACCGTTACCAACAGGTCAAAGTCTCAGCGGGGACTCTCAGCAAAAGCTTCAGCAGAAGGACAAGATGCCTGCGAGGGAAAGCCAGGAGGTGACGGTCCCCCAGGCACAGAGGGAACCCTTCCTCTCTGCTCTCAGCGCTGCCCGCGCCTGCAAAGCTTGCCTCGAGACGCCCGAGGTGATGTACAGCCCAGCACCTTGCCAAAAACCCAACGTGAATTTATGAGGCTCGCCTCCAAGCTCCGAGGCGGTGCTGTGGCTTTGGACTCCGCAGCACGTCAGGAGGGGGCTGCAGAAAGCTTGTGGGCAGCCCAGCGGCAGGCACTGCAGCGATATACTTGTCTCTCTGCAAAAACTAAACCTTCCCGCCCCCTTCAATAGACCACACACACCCCATGTGTGTGGCATCTAGCCCGGCGGCATCTCCAGAATTTATGTTTTTCTTTAGGACCTCCATCCGTCCCTACCCCTTTCTCCAGCCAAGGCGGTTAGACGCCCCAAAAGATGCTCGATTCCTCCCTTTCAGCAGCATCTCCACAATTTACATTTTACTTTAGGACTTCCATCCATCCCTATCCCTTTCTCCAGCCAAGGCGGTTAGACGCCCCAAAAGATGCTCGATTCCTCCCTTTCAGCAGCATCTCCACAATTTACATTTTACTTTAGGACTTCCATCCGTCCCTACCCCTTTCTCCAGCCAAGGCGGTTAGACGCCCCAAAAGATGCTCGATTCCTCCCTTTCAGCAGCATCTCCACAATTTACATTTTACTTTAGGACCTCCATCCATCCCTACCCCTTTCTCCAGCCAAGGCGGTTAGACGCCCCAAAAGATGCTCGATTCCTCCCTTTCGGGATCAGTAAAACCTTCAGTTTGCTATTTTCCCCTTCCCCCAAAAGGGTTTTATTACCGGATTGACCTGATGCACACGGCTTTCCAGCATTTCGCTTCTCTCGTTTCAGCATTTAGATTAATTGCCACGGGGAGGCGAGCAGCTTGCCTGGCTCGCAAGCTCCAGTTACAGAGCCAGTGTCAGTCACCGTCAGGCAGACCTGCCTCGTCACCTGAATTTTTTTGGTTATTTTCCACTAGGACCCGAAATCTTTCCTTCAGATGAGGTAAGAGCCTCGCCGCCACACCACAGCGCAGTCTTCCTCCAGCAGAAACATGACTTATTTGAAAGGTTTCAGGAAGACAAATTGAAATGTTTTAATAACTTCACCTCCGAAGTAACCACTGCTCCAAGTTCTAACAAATTACATTTTCAGCTCGGTTAAAAAAAAAAACCAAACAAAACAGCAGCAGAGAGGGGGATGGGGTGACAGCGCAGGGGTTCGGCCACCACGCATGGTTCCAATGCCATCTAGTGGGAAACCGGCTCTTGCGACATTTCTTTACGCTTTGGTGCAGCCAGAAAAACAAAACCAAACCCAAACCCCCAATTAAAAAAATCAATCTCTTTCCGTACCAAAGAGCACAACGAGGTGAGTTTCCACGGAACCCAAAATAGCAGCCACAGCACCCCGAAATGGTTTACTATATAGAATAAAATATCGCTGCCTGAAAGGATCTATTTGAGGAAGCGACTGTAGCTGAACGGTAGCAACACCGCACCCTAAAAAAGGAGCAGTGATTAAAAACAGTAATTTTGGCGGGGGGAGAACCAAACTACATCTGAAATAGAGTTCCAGCTGCCAAAGCTGGGTGGGTTTTGGCTAGCGGGGACCGAACAAGTGCCTCGGAGCCTCTTCCGTGGTTACGTCCGCAGCAGCACAGAGCCCACTGGTGTTTTAAATATTCCTGGGGTATCCTAAGTGGGGTGACAGCCTGGCACGGCGAGGCGGCTGGGCAGAAAAACTCCTGCAAAATCTGTACGAGCCCGAGACGAGCTTCTTGAAGGCTTCAGTCCAGCAACCCCGTGGCGTGAGCTTAGGAAAAACGCTTCCATTAAAACGACACGCCGGACTGCTGCCCACCGTTTCAGCCGCGGGCAATTCTCGCTACAGATCCTCCTCTGGGACGGCTGCAAGTCCCTACGACTTTGGGGCACAGATTATAACCGTAACCACAGCATTCTCTCTCCCTAGCAAGGAGCTTTCTTGCCCCTCTTCAAATCAAACATGCATGGACACCCTCGTTATAAAAAGATTTTTGGTTTATTCCTTGAATTTTGTAGCTGTACTCATGACGTCATCGCTGCCTGTTTTCCTCCTAGCGGAAAGCACTGCAAAAAGCATCGGTAAGATAAAGCAAAAGAGGTTTCGACGTTACGCTTTCCCATCCCAAAGATCCTCCCTCCCACACCAACCAATCTCATTAACGAGGAAGCATCCACCAGCTTTCTGTTGTCGCTCCCTCACTGCGCTGATCAATAATCCTGTAACAAAATCCCTCGCCGGCAACGTTATTTGGGTGGGCTGCGAATTGTTCTCACTGCCACCGCTTGCTAATGGCTCTCTCATTGAAGATTAGAAGGCCAAATCATTTATCCAGCGGGCCGTTAGCAAGCCTTATCCGCTTCTTCCTTATTCATGGCTCATTACGCTGTGCAACTGGGTTCCCATTCAGCGCAGCTGGAAAATCCTTTTCCAGAGGGAAAAGCCAATTTCACGAAGGGCTTTTGCACAACATCGCCTCTCTGCCTAGAATAATATTAGAGTCGCATTCCTAATTGGTTTAACTCCCGGGCATCAAACTACATTTCCTCCACAGCAGGCCGCCTAGCGTATAAATCCGTTCTCACGTTCATTCCCCCAGCAGCGGGGTGCGTTCTTAAACCCCCCATCCTGCCAAGATGATCAGCATCAGCCCTGGAATCTCGATCCGGCGTTCCCGCTGCCGGGCGGAGCTCCACTCACCTCTTCCGAAGGCGCCCAGATCGCCTCCCGCTTTTGCCGAGCTGCAGTCGCTAAACTGGGAAGCCAGAGATTCAAAATCCTCTTCTCCCGATTTTATCTTCTGGATGTAGCCTGTAAATACAGGGAATAATTCAGTCAGGGAGAGAAAAACAGGGAAAAAAAAGAAAAACACAGCCCAAAACCCACCTTAAGCTTTACATCCCGCAGCAAGAAGGGCACAAACAACTGAAAAAAAGGGCTTTCAAACCTCCTGAATGAATTCAGAGCCAAAACTAAACTTTTGTAACACCCCAAAAGCACTTGTCTCAGTTTGTGTGTTGGTTTTTTTTTTTTTTTTCCAAGCACGTTTCCACCCTCGCGCCGTGGCCCATTTCTATTTAAGCTTCTATTAAATAAAAAGATAAAAGGTGATTCCGCCTACTGCTACCCCTGGAGCGTGGGGATTTATTATTGGGCTTCAAAACGGATGAGCTTTTGACTTCAGAAGGGTTCACCTCGGTAGAAGACCGAGCGGGAAGAATCCCCGAGGAGCGAATTATTTGTCAAGACCGCCTTTTAAAAGGTCAGTTAAGAAATATTCGTAGTCTCAACCGAGAGCACTGCCTCACCGTTCTGAATCTTTCTGGACCAGTGGAAACCCCCCGCCGCCCTCTGCCAGCTCATAACAAGAAAACCCAGGAGACGGATCCCGTTTTCCAGTCAACAGCTTGATAACGTGATCGCGGAGCCGCTAATTGCGGAGACCGACCGCTCTCGGAGCTGAGCAAAGCACAAGCGCCGCTGATGCGTCCCTTAACACCGCGCGGGGCAGATTTTCATGGATTCTCAAGACGGCGAGGAAAAAAACATCCCGCCCGGTTTCACGCAACTCGACCAGCTTCAGCTCCTTCGTTAAGAGGAGCGTAACCGCTAATCCAAATCCCAAACCGCCGCTGCTCCGACTTGCAGCCACCCCTCGCCCAAATGCGATTTAGCACCAGTTGGGAAGAAAACTTTCCTGCGGGAGGAGGGCGGCAGACGCCGGACTCGAAGCCTGCTCCTGCCAGAGGGGTTTGCCTTCCCTGCTTTGCACCGCCGAGGGATGAATTAAGACAAAATTACATTGAAAAAAAAATAAAATAAAAATTCATCCATTTATTTTAAGCGAGGGAACATCTCCCACAGGAATCCACCCACACCGGCCCCAAAGAACAGCCCCAAACCAATGCTCCGGCTTCCAACCCAAAGCAACTCTCCGAACCAGGGGAAATCCAGCTAGGTTTATTTCTCACTAGACATTCGTTTAATTTTTAAATCCCTCTTTCCAGAAACCTCCCGTCAGCTCTTGAAAGAATCGACAAGGCCTGACTGTCCTCCGTTTTAGACCGAAGCACTCTTCCACCTTCAAAAAGAAACGCTGAGCAGCGGCTGATTTCCTTAAACAGAGAAATCAAGAGAAAAGAAACAGAGAAATCAAGAGAAAATGTTTTCTTTAACAGAGAAATCAAGAGAAAAAAAAACAACAGAGAAATCAAGAGAAAATGTTTCCCTTAACAGAGAAATCAAGAGAAAAGAAACGTTGCTATGAAGTCTCCTGGTTTCAATAACCAAATTTCCTATTTCAGGTCACTCCCATGTAAGCCCTGTAGCTTGCACGTATAAAGAGTCTGCGCTTTGCTAGATAAACCTTTAAAAATAAGATATAAAATTGGGCTGAGCATAGTTTATTCCCACCACAAGCAGTGGAAGATCCCTACCTGAAAAAGGGCCAGGCAGGTAATTCAAGAGCTACGCTGTATTACTTGGAGAGATGCTCTCACAAAAGGAAGAGGGCGGTTTCGGATGCAAAAGGATGAGGAAATAAGTATTTTCCAGCTCATTTTAATGCTAGATGCTCGTATACAGCTGAGGAAACACCTAGGAGGGTTGGGGGCAGGTAAGAAAATATTCCTTAATGACAGACTGGAGGCTGCCTCTTCGGAGTTGACATATCCCGCAGCAACAAAAAAGCACGGTAGCGATTTTTGAGTGAACTCCTTTACGGCAGTTTAACTCTTGCAAGACCAAAACGAAGGGATTTGAAGTCTTCAGCTTAGTTTTCTACCCTACAGCTCGATTCTCCTCCCTGATTCAGTCCTCTCTTTAAATGAGCTGCCATTAACCTAAATCCTTGTAATTCGGCAAGGTGTTCGGCACAGCTCGGTTTGCTTTTCCAGCCGGACAGTCCGGGAGGGAAAGCTACCAAAAAAAAAAATAAATGGGAATAGGCGACTGATGTCCTCTTGTTCTAGAATTTCTTTTTTTTCTTCTTTTTAAACAGGTGCCCTGAATAGAATTCAAAAGCCACAGAAAGTTATCTTTATTCCTGATGTGCATAACCTGCGTTAACAGAAAACACCGGCATTTGTCACCTAAAATGAGATTCCACCCTTTTATCCCACCTGCTGCTTAAAGCGCACGCGAACGGGCGGAGAAAGTCTACGTGAAAATGCGAAACTCTACAAAACTTAAGGCAACAGCTGTTTATCCTGCATCGAAAAGGGAAAAGGGATTATTTATCCGGGTGGAAGACAGTTCACAGCATTCATGTTTTCAGAAAGAGACCGACACTGGTTCATCCGATTAAAATAAGCTGCTCGAGCACAAACAGCCTACTCGCGGACAAAACGGAGTTCATCCTAAAAATACGTATTTGCACCACCATAAATACGTATCCGATTGTATAGAGGCGCCACTCCTTAGCAAGTACCCGTCACACATCCCAGCCAGAAGCGTCAGAAATTACAGCTTTAAGATATGGACTGATGTTACAGCAATAAAACACCCAAATTAAGGATTGGAGGGTTTCTATTTCTATCCTAAACTGCCTGCCCCGGTCACATCAGCGGGTTCTGAGGGGTAAAGAGTTTCATAAGCGTGCAGAGCAAACCAGTCAACCAGGCATCGAATAGAATTTAGTTATTAAAACCTCCTAATTTTATGTCGGTGATCAGCCCGAGAGCAAAATCTGCCTGTCAGCTAAATGAGGGTTTTCCTGGACAAAGCCTAAGGCTTTCTGAAAGCCGAGGGGGTTGTTTCCAGCCACCTCTCCCAGCACAAGACGCCCGCCCCTCACGTCTAAACTTTGGCTCTTGCAAAGTGGCATTAATGAGCCTTTTCCCCAGATGATCTCAGCCATTTAGAACAAATTATGCAGATTAGGTACTGTCCAGCTTTTAATAAACCGCCCCTAAAAACCTCCAGGCGTAAGTGAAATCGAATAATGGGGAGATTAGCGCAAAAAGAGCAAGACGAAGAATGGCAATGGATCGTGCTGGAATGGGGAGTATCAGGGAAGAAAAGCTTTCGGGGACGGAACTTTGGGATGGATCCTAGCTGATTCTGCAATAAGAAACAGGGGTACGCTAACGAAGCACACAAATAAGAAGCTGGAGGGTGGGAAAACAGAGTCAGCAGAGAGGAGGATCGGAATATTAAACGTGATGCGAACGACCAAGCAAGATCCAACGACACCGAGCGAACCCACACGTGGATTTACACACGCAACCAAAAAAAAATAACAAACAATAATCTGCTGTACGCAGAGAGAGGAAAAGAAAGACTGGAAAAACTGGAAAACCGGAAAGAGGAGGACGTAAACGCAGAATTACAAATTAACTGCGAAACAGGCGGTCTGTCTTTAAAAGCGAGAAAAACAGCACTGAAGAGGCGGTATCCTCAGCAGAGAGAAGGGCAGGAGTAAACACCGCAGTAGAAGGCTAATCTGGAATATCGCACACCGCGATGAACCCATGCTCAAGAAAGATTAATTGAAACTGAAGTGCAAAGGAGGGCTAAGAGTAGCAACAGCAGAAGGGATGACCTACATTACCAGAAACGAAAAGCCCGGCTGGCTCAGCGTCCAAAACCAGGCTGGTAAAGAGCAGGACTCTCTAAATCCACCGAGAGGTCTACATCAGGAAGAAATTAAATTCAATTGAGTAATTAAAGAACACTAACGCAAGAAACAAGGGGCAGAAACTGATCATAAACGGTATTTGGCTGGAAACTGGGTTTCTACGCATCAGAGCAGAGATGAGGGGGAAAAAAAAACTTCACAGCAAATTCAGGCAGAACCCGAACTGCCTCTTCGAGGGCTCCTGAGAAAGCCTGCAGAGGGGATGACGAGGTTTTGCTACCTTTAATATCAGGGACAGGCTCAACTCTGAAATTTCTTCCAAGTCCCACATTCCCCGCGACGTTATCACCTTTCAGAAAAGCACCCGGTGTGAGCCGAGTCCGCCAACTCTTGCTGGAAGACAACGGGAGAGCTAACCTGCACTTAATCCTCCGCTGTGACTTTCTTAATGGATTAAAAGCCATTCACAGACCACGCGCCCCTCCAGCTCTCTCGACTCTCCGCCCTTATTACCGGAGAAAAACCATCAAACAGAATATTTGACATCAGTCAAGTTCACCTACGGAAAACATTTGTCTTTAGTATCGTCCTCTCTCCTGTGGGAACAAAGAGCTCCCTAATCAAATTTCTTTCTCGGCTTTTTTATTGCATAAAGCATTAACGCCGGAGCGAGATTCGGAAGGAGATCTCTCAGCCATAACCGATCTCCAAACAAAACATTGGAATGTGTGGTACCGTGCCTGTCAAACAAATCCCTCCCCGGAGACCTACTTAGGCAATTCTACGCTATAATTACATTCACCAGGTACAGTACATCTGTGCAGAGCGGCTCATCGATGCCCGACTGGCAGGAGCTGGAGCGGAGCTCAGCCGTGCGTCCTCCCAAGAAGTTTCGGTTGTTCTAGAAACTTAACTTGCAGTAATTGTCGAGAAGCCACTACAAAATAATTAAGCATAAGCTGATGCTCCCTATGACCTTCCCAGGAATAGCATTTATTAGGGACAAATGGGGACAGAAAGGTGGTTAGTGGGGTTGGTTTTTTTTTTGGACGATGGTATTCCCATCACAGGAATTAATTCCCTAATGGCCTTTACCGAGAAGACAAGCAGGGTATTTACATGAAGGAAGTTTTAACCACGACTCTTTCGTCTTCAGACACTACAGAGAGATCATGAAACACAGAGATATTTGATAGTGAGAAGGCTCTGACGCTGTCAAGGTTAATCTCATTCTTTTGAGCCAAGGAAAGTTTAAGCTGTTTCTTTCCCTCACCTTACCAGGTAGCAAAGAACTGCAGCACGGCAAAAAAAAGCACCCAAACAAAGAATGACAATTGTTGAGTCCAAATAACGTTATTTGGGCTTCTAAAGACAACCAATTTAGGAATATCTACATATCAAAAAGCCTAACTGGCCACAAGCTCCTGAAATACCTCTTTAGGGATAATAAGACAACTTTCCCTTCTAAAAAGATAAGTGATTCCCTCTCACAAAGATCCATGTTTGCCAACGCCTGCTTAAAATACGCCAGCATCGTGCACCATTTAACCTCTGATCTGTAGAAAGCTCTGCGCTGGCCTTCTGATGAACATCACTCCAAGAGATGGGTCTAAAACGGTTTTATTGGAGAGGAGAGGAGAGGAGAGGAGAGGAGAGGAGAGGAGAGGAGAGAAATTTGCAGCTCAGCTGAAACATTATGATCTATTTATCTTTAGACCGGTCTCAACTCCCTCGGCACAGATGTCCACGCTAGGCGTGCATCCGGCTTTATCGCCCGTGGTCACGCTTTCTCAGCCACCCTAACCCCAAGGAGACAATTCCCTAAGAAAATTCCCATCTGTGCCGGTTAATTTAAGCTCCCCTTCCAAAAGGCGGTGAGCAGATACCACCTGCTGGTCACTGCCTCAGTGCTTCAAGTCATTCAGCACAGATATTTCCCCCTTCCAGGGCTTTCAAACAAGAAAGTCCTTACATTTATTGTTGGGTAGGACAGAGGCAGTAGCCAAAACACCCTCCCTATCTTCCCCCCTTGTTGCTGAAGCCATAAAAGATAAGACATGCCCAGGACTGCCGTACATATCCATGCGCTCACAGCTTTGCGACCCCACTGCCAGAAAAGACAAAGCTGCCCACTAAAGAGCGTGGTCTCAGTTTCATCAATTCATCAGCGGGACTGATTTAAACCTCATCCCAACCCCGCCAAATTCGTACTGCTAAGAGGTAAAAGCCAGCAGGAACAGCCGAACCTGCTCCCGTAAGATCAAAAAAACCTCGATGCTGAAGAAACGCGACATCAATTCCATTCCACTGCCAGAGTTGCAAGGCAAAAAAAAACTAGGCTGCAAAGATTACCACCACCTATCGCAGAAAGCATGCAGCGCCCTCGCTCCGAGACCAGATCACAAGCCAGAACACTTTGGGGAAAAACCTGAGCAGATCAGGTCACGCGTACAGCCTTGGGTGAGGTCGATTGCCTCGTGCAAGCAACTTGATTTCAAGCAGAGGTTAATTAGAACTTACTCTAAGCTGCTATTAGGGCAAGGAGTCAAGTGACATTAAATAAAAAGAAATGTTTAAAGAACATTTGTTTTAGCTTCAAATCATTTTATTTTTAATATAAAAATACACGTTGACAAAGAAAATACAAACAAACCTCTGAAGTAACATTACAAAAAAAAAAAAAAAAACCACAAAAAAAACCCCAAACACAAAGGGGAAGACATACGGGCCGAGACCTATCTTTACGTGATTTAATTGTACAGCAAAATTGTTTCTCCGAGTGGCTGGGCCACACGAAAGTCCATGTTCCAACCACTTGGTTTAAAAAAACCCCTTTGCTTTAACAAGTTCATGACACACTGAACAACTCATCTCAGGGTCCAATTCTAGCCTTAAAATGACTTCTCCCCTTCCACAGTATCATATTCCCTCTCTCTCTCTCTCTCTCTCTCTCCTGCGTTTACTTGCCATTTATAAGCTCCAGTGCCTCATCTTTGGTCCGCGTGATCTTTTCCTGCCTCCAAGACGAGGGTCTTCTGGACTGGTTGTGTTTCACCAAGAGATGTGAACACCGCACTTTGCTAGGCTCCCCTTGGCCGTTCTTCCCGCTGCCGCTGGGCCGTTCCCACTGGCTGGCATTCGTGATGTGGTTGAAGTAATACACACGGCCTGCGGACAGAGAGAGGGGGCTGGGGTTAAAAAAAACCTCCCTGCAGACCCCAGGAATGAGCTTCTTGACCCCAAGAATAAGTTTGTGACCCCAAGAACGAGCTTCGTGACCCCACAGGCACAGAAGACTGGATTTCTGCGAGTGCTCGGCCACCTCCACGTGATCAGCTCAAACACACGAGGTAGGAAACAAGATTTTACAACTCCACGTAATTTCCAACGCAAGTGTTTCCGTCAGGAAGCGCCTTTCGTCAAGGCAACAGCCCCGCACAGAAGCGGGCTCCAGCTGCCTTTCCAACTCGGCACGTGCTCGCACAGAGCGGCAACAAAACACCTACTGAAACCCTCAGAAACCGCAAACACCCCCAGGCAACGCAAACACCCCCAGGCAACGCCTGGCTGCTGCCGAGGAGGCAGACAGTGCCGGGTTTCTGGCCTGGAGATAAGATTGCGTTTCACTCTAGCCCTAGTTACAAGGGTGAAACAACGCAAAGCCTCTCTGTCAAGCACATCCTGCAGCGAACGTGGCAAGTTACTGTTAGCAAAGATCCCATCTTTGCATTGCACAGATGTTTTCTTCCAAAAATCACCTTTCTTCTACCAGAAAATAAGCCCTTCCTGCACAAGATATCCAGGGTTTCCCCAGGTAGCAGAAAACAAAGCTCCTGTGAAGTCACCTCTTGACACATTCAACATTAAAGCCAGGTAATTCTCCTGCTCAAAGGCTTTCCTGTGCTCAGAGCCACGTGTGAGACAACCCACAGCATCGATGAAGACAATTTCTGCTTTCTCCTAGCAAATCATTCACCCCAAAGCTCTCCACTCAAACTGGGAGCATACTAGACTCAAGGAAAAAAGCCAAGCAAACCAAGGCAAAGGATTGCAACAGCAGAGCTGTACAGCTGCAGGCTATGACCTAGCAGCAAACGGCTCGATTTCCCAGTTGCAATCCCAACCAACAGCCTGGAGCTGTGAACTCCAGCCAGCCCTGGAGCTCCCTGCCTCCAGGATGCTTCACCTACGATATTCCTTCCAAAGAAGGGCTCACACAGGGCCCCTCTTCTCTCTCGGCCTCATTATCCCCACCTCAAACAAACCAGCAGAGCAGCCAAGCTGATGAACACGACCTTCTGGGAACTGCTTTTGAGCCACTAAGCCTGGAAAACCTCTCGCAACAAAGGACAAAATCCTGGTGAAAAAAAGGTACCGTCCTGACCCACAACTTCCCTCCCGGAGCCACCACAGCCCCGCCGAGGGAAAAAAAAACTGGAATAAGCTCCCCAGGGAAATGTCTTATCTTGCTTAGAGCGTGCTTTCGCCGAGAAAGGATGGACCAGATGAGCCCTGAGGTGCCTTCCAACCTGTGATTCTGTGATTCCAGAATGACACTATGAAAGCATCCTGCTGCACTCTGACCTGGCCTTTTATAAAACAGCTTCTCTCTGCTCTGCCACCCTGCCCTGCCTCTCTCCACC